AGAGAAGATGCCCCACTAAGCATTTCCTAAATCCCCAAAACATCAAGCTCAGAATAGGACCTATGTACCTGAAGTTCTGTCACGCAATATATGTGTGTGTATGCAGTTTGTATATGCATCAATTACCTAGTCTTTAATTATTTTTTTTTAATAAAGTTTACTTTTACTTTTCAGAGCTTGGACTCTTCTTTTAAAATGTATATTCTATTCACAGCTGTAACAAATCAAATTTTTCAAAGCTTATTTACATAAGTAAAAGATATCAGCTTGAGGTTATTAACCTCTTCCCGTCTGCCTGCTGTTGATAAACGGCAGGGCGGTGGCACTCCAGGGGCGGGTTATCGTTCATAAACGGTACCCGCCTTTTCTAGCTGTGTACGCGCTCCCTGGGAGCGCGCAGCACCGCGATCCGGTGCCCGCTGTGTCCTCCGGACACAGTGAAACACCAATCGTCGGACGGGGCCTCTGTACGAGGTCCCGATCATGTGATCACTGATTGGCGAATCAGTGATCACATGCAAAGTAGTAAGCAAGATGTCACTTGTGACATAATTGCTTACTACGTGTGAAATCTGTGAATGATCACAGAGGTCACATGGTACAAGGCTATTCACAACAGCCCTTGTACCATGTGACAAGCTGTGACCAATCACAGCTCACTCAGTACTTCTCAATGACTGCAAGAATGCAGACAGAGAGAAAGAGAAATGATTGCTTTTACATTCTATATGGGTGTAAAAGCAATCAGTGTAAAAAAAAAAAAAAATCTTCATCACCCCCCACAAGTAGTACAGTGTCACCATGGTGACACTGTACTGCTAGGGTGACAGTATGTAAAAAAAAATAAAAAAAAAATATAAAAAAATAAAATAAAAATGTAAAAAAAAAATCATTTTTGGTTATAAACTAATTTGGAATTTTTTTTTTTACTAAAAAATTAACGGAATAAATTTTGGCCAAGATTTATGATGAAATATTATTTATTTGCAAAATTTTATAAAAAAAAAAAAACACTTTTTCAAAATTTTTGGACTTTTTCATTTTACATAGTAAAAAAAATAAAAATCCCAGCAGTGAATAAATACCACCAAAATAAAGCTTTATCTGTCTCAAAAAAATGGTAAAGAATTCATATGGGTCAGTATTGCATGACCGTGCAATTGTCATTCAAAGCGTGATAGCGATGAAAGCTGAAAATTGCCCTGGACAGGAAGGGGGTAAAAGTGTTCGGAGAGGAAGTGGTTAAAGCTGAACTTGGGGGAAATGAAAAATCTACTCTTGCAATGGGCTCAGACTGCCCAAGATAAATGCCCAGTTCTGCCTAGATTACCCATATAAAACCACTTTTACTTACATTATACCTAGCTCCTCCATGTGATTTGTCTCCCACAGCCACTACTCTTGGGCATACCGGCTCTGGCTGACATCACACACAATGCAGGGCCAGTTGTTCTGCATTGTAAGTCAAGATGCCAAGCCTATAACTGAGTGTCACAAACAGGTTATCGACAGCTGCCAGGGGATCGAAGGATAAGGTAAGTAAAAATCCTTTTTTATGGGAACCCCAGGCAAAAACAAATTTTTAGATATTGTCATTTTCCTAGAATTCAGCTTTAATATAGGTTAAAAAAAGATGTTATGTATTTTTTTTAATTATTCAGGATATGTATATGAGGGTTTTCATATTTGCTTATTACTGGTGCTACTTCTTTCTTCGTCGTGCTACACATTTGTCACATGCTGCAAAGCCAAGTATTATAGGCGCAGTCAAATAAATGGGACTACAGCACAACGGTGTGGCACTTACAGGGCTAAAAAAGGCAATGAGGAGGTGACACATTGCCTTTTCACCACCTGTTAAACACTTCACAGATCACTTTTTCAGAGGGGTGGCATGTGCTCTAAACATAGCCTAAGCAATTAGTGGTGCACCGAAATGAAAATTCTGGTGCTGAAAATGGAAAATGCAAAATGCACTTGGCCGAAACGCGCAGTTTTTAAAAATGAATCTATATTTTTTTTTGGGAAAAATGCACTTTGATTAAAAAAAAAATATATATACCCAAATTTTTTTGTAAAATATGAAAGAGGATGTTATGGCGAGTAAATAGATACCCAACATGTCATGCTTTAAAATTGAGCACGCTCGTGGAATGGTACTTAAAAATCTCCATGGGTGATGCTTTAAAAGTTTTTTACAGTTTAGCAGTGTAAAGTTACAGAGGAGGTCTAGTGCGAGAATTATTGCTCTTGCTCTGACGTTCGTGGCAATACCTCACGTGTGGTTTGAACACCATTTACATATGTGGGCCTACGTATGCGTTCACCACTACGTGCAAGCACGGGGGGATGGGAGTACTTTAAACTTTTTTTTTAATTATTTATTTAATGATTTTTTTTTTCTTGCACTGTCCCTTTAACCGTTTCAATACCGTGCAATTTTACCCCCTTCCTGCCCAGGCCATTTTTCAGGTTTCAGCGCTCTCACACTTTGAATGACAATTGCGCGGTCATACAACACTGTACCCAAACTAAAATTTTATCATTTTCTTCACACAACTAGAGCTTTCTTTTGGTGGTATTTAATCACCACTGGGGTTTTTATTTTTTTTGCTAAATTAACAAAAAAAGACCAAAAATTTTGAAAAAAAAAACACATTTTTCTTTGTTTCCGTTATAAAAGTTTACAAATAAATAATTGTTCTTCATAAATTTAGGCCGAGATGTATTCTGCTACATGTCTTCACAAACTATGGTATAGATCTGAAAATTGATCAATCCTGAAGTACTGACGGCCAATCTAATTTCTTGAGGTCCAAGAATGTCAGAATAGTACAGATATCCCCAATGACCCCTTTTTGCAGAGTAGACAGTCCGACGTACTTCATAAGAGGCATGGCGAGTTTTTTTGAAGTTGTATTTTTTTGTCATAATTTTTCGGAAAATGAAAAAATGAAAAAAATTATTTTCACTATTTTTTTTTTTACATACTGTCACCAGTGCAGTACAGCGTCATCATATAACTGGCATGGCGGTGAACAGGGACACTGACTGGTGACAGTATGAAAAAAAAAATATATATTTTTTTTATTTTTTTTTATATTTTTTATTACATTTTTTTTAAGATTTTTTTTCATATTTTTCTATGACCAAAATAGTACAATGTTACCATAGTAACATTGTACTACTTTGGGGAAGTGATCAGTATTTTTTTTTTTTTTTTTACACAATTTGCTTATAGCAAAGAATACTTTGCTATAAGCAAGCATTTACCTGAATGAATGAAATCGATTCATTCAGCTTTTTTTTTTTTTTTTTTTGTGCTTAGCTGTGATTTGGTAACATGACATGTGCATGTGATTAGCTGTGACCATTCACAGCTAGGCACTAGTATACAATGGATGGCATCATGAATGAAGCCATCCATTGTATACAACTGTCATGTGACCTGCTGTGATTGGTCCACAGCAGGTCACATGGTACCAGCAACGGGAGCCGGTACTCGGATCTGTCATCGGCCGTGTCCGAGGTGCACGGCCGATGACAGATCGCACTGCTGCGCCGCTCTGCACTAGCGCAAACGGCGCATGTGCGGCAGCACGCCAAATGGCGTGCACCCGGAATGCAGATACACATCTGAAGCTGCCAAACGGCCATTGGCCGGGCGGCTAATGGTTAAAAAATGTTTTAATCACTTTTGTTCTGATCACAAGAAGTGCATCCCTTGTGATAGAAATAATTAGTGACACGTCCTCTTTATGGAGAGATATGGGGTCAATAAGACCCCACATCTCTCCTCTGCAATGTAAAGCATTGGATCGAAAGAAAAAGAATTGAAAAAAAACGCGGCCAAACCGAAAGTCACATCACTCCGGTCCTCCATAGAGATGTGTGGAGGCCATCTTTCCTTCACTCATCTCTATGCCCATCACTGGGATCGTTTGATGGTTTCTCAGGTAAGGCCCAGAACTATCAAGCGGCGGCGGCAGCGATGGCAGGTGGGCGGCGGCGAGGGGCAGGTGTTTTTTCAGCACCTGTATCGGTGCTTTTTTTCATTTCGGATGAAAGGGGTGTTTTTGGCCAAAACGTTTCGGCCACCAAAATTTTGGTGCATCCCTATTAACAATATGTGTATAAGTTGAAGAACAAGGATGAACACATTAGAAAAAATCCTCTAACTCTACTTAGCTCTTAGCAGTTTTTGAACTTGAGGTGTTCACTACTGTGATTCCTAACAATAAATAGTATCCGTATAACCTAGTCTCAGAATAATAGCAGGGTTCATTTAGCAACACTGATTCTACAGTATTTGTTTTTTTTGTATATTTTTTAATGCGTGGCTGCAGAAATATCAACCCAAATTAATAAAAAGAAAGTTTACATAGAAAGGGGTAAAAAAGAAAGCATAAACAAAATACCTAGGGGAGGGTGTGAAGTAAAGTTCAATAAGAAATATTTGGAGTCAAATGAGAAGTATACTTTTAAACAAATGAACAGTTCCCATTGTTTCCCGCTATACCTCCTATTTACTTGCCTGAGATTAGCATGCAACTCAGTTTGGGAGCTGCAGCCTACATTGGCAAGCACTTTAATCCTCTCCTGAGCCAGCAGAGGTGAATGGTACTGTGCATGTGTAGTTTTGTTCTTCTGTAGGTCATAATAGGAAAGCTAGTGTGCCTGCAAGCCTGTCAGTACCTCTGATACACAGAGCAGGATAGTCTGTCAAACTGACAGCTGAACCCTGTGCACATTATCCCAAGGCGTAATTTGCAGCTGAGCGTACTGTGTGTACCAAAAGTGCTGACAGTGGCTCTTGATACACAGATGGTGGTCAAACCATCAAGTTTTGAAAACATGCGAATGAGTCCGGGCAAAAAAACAGAAACAGACAAAATTGGTTTGTCTTGAAACTGGAATTAACTTCAAGATCAATTTTTATTATATAGTGATTAAAAGCATAGTCTATGAATTTAAGTGAAAAACGCACACCAGACACTTACCATTTTCTACATAGGGGTGGAAAGGCAGAACTAGGGCCAATATAACACGACCTCGGGTTGGTTCAAGGACACTTCTCATTTCCTTCAATAAAGTGACAGGCTGGTGGCATCGGTCAAGGAGGTTTAAACAGCTGATGACGTCATACTGGAATCCTGTCCTCTGCCATTCATCGATATTAAGCACTCTACCAAAAGAAAGAACATACATACTTCTAAGCTTACTGCATTAGCAAAACAGCACAAATAAAGCTGGATATCAACATCCATAAAGCTGAAAACTGTGGTGTTGGCTGTAAAGCAGGGTTTAAAATTTCGAGTTTAGACCTAGTAGCCAGGCACAAACCTTACTCTCCACCAGTTGCCCCACCCAACCTTGCCCAGCTCCACCTCCAACTAGGACAAGTAGATTGTCATGAGGGACAAGTAGATTGGTGCACAGATTTAGTCTGTGGACAAGTAGTTTTTCAAAAAAATTCCACACCCGTTTGTTAACTCCCCCCATACTACGTAGGCATGCACAGTACCTGGAAACACAAACCATACCTGTACTTTTTCTTCTGAAGTTGCCATATCATAGTCTGTGACATCTCTGTCACATAGATTTCCTCAAAGTGCGGGCTCATAACTTTTGTTACTTCACCGTCCCCTGCTCCCAAGTCCAGCAGCCTCTGGGATTTCCAGTCTGGGTTAATTTTGAGAAGTCTCTGGAATTGTTCTGGGGAAAAAGACGAACATAGACCCCCTACCCAGCAACCTATTACAGGAAGAAAAAAAAAAAAAAAAAGTCAGGCTAAAATGCAACAGTGTTTAAAAACCTTAGAATGCACCTAACCAGCAGTAAACAAGCTTCAAAACACAATCCCACTGCACTAAAGTTTCTGTCCCTATATGCAGTAAAGTATGCTTGTTATACTTACTGAGGAACCTAAGAGGTTAGTCCTCTTCATTGTGTGAAAAGGATGTTTGATCGTGTCTTCTCTGATACTCCCCCTCTTCTACGGTCTCCAATCCATCTGCTGATAGCACAGAGCTCTAGGAGTTACTCTGCACATGCTCAGTTTAGTGTGTATTGGTAGAGATTTTTTTTTTTTTTCTTCTTTGTGAGAGTGCATGTGATCAGCACAGAGCCAATCAGCACTGTCCAGACAAGAGAGTCAGGGGTCATGCAGACACATAGGGCAGTCAGAGAAAACTCCTCCTAAAAGTTTTAACCCATGTTCAGTTGGATACTGACAGAAGTCACAAGACGTCTATATACTGCTGATGATGAAAAGGTATTTAGCAGTTTATATTTACTACAAATAATTGCATTTCCATGTTCTGTGTACTGTGGGAGACCAGATATAGTGAATGCAGGGTATTGGGTTTAGTAACACTAAGTCGTTTTCTTAGCAGTTCAGCCTTTACTGCTTCCCCCTCCCAGCAAGGACTTAGCAGCTTTCTAAATCTCTAATGTAAACACAGAGCAGGAGCTCTGGGGGAGGGAGCAGAATGAGCAAATCTACTGAAAGGACTCCAAAGCTTCTGCTGTACATTTTTAAGGAAGAATTACTCAACAGTGCCAGCACTTAGAGTTTAGTGGGCATTTCTTTTTTAAAACAGAACTTAAAATAATTGCTGTGAGATGGTATTTTTAGCAAAAGAGATTTTGCATGTCTCTTTTGCCTGACCACTTGTCTACCTGGGTATATTTTTAAACATCCTGGTACTGGAGGGGTTAAAACAAGCTCACACCTGCAGTAGCATTACCATTTTCTTCAGCCAGATCCTGGCTTTTAGAGAAAAAGTGTAAAGGTGCCGCCACCTGCCATGGTACCTGAATGCTCCTGCTTCTATAGGGAGGATGGGACCATGGTAAATGCGGTCAAGATGGGAAGTGGGAACATCATTTCTGATCTGCTCTCTGATCAATGCACCTGCAAGCACTTAGATCTGAGCATTTCTGGCCTTAGAGTTGTCAGAGTCCAGCTAAAATTCTGGGTAAACAGCTGATCAAAGACAGCCCTGTGATTGGCTATGGCAGATGTCAGGGGAGACATTAGATGTCTCCATAAAAGAGAACCTGTCACCTTCCAATGCCATTACACAGGGTACTTGTTAGTGAAAAACAAAATGTGCTAAAACATATATTATAATAAAATAAATATAATTTAATAAAATTTGAAAGCAATACAGTCTACCTGCACACACACTGGAATACAAACATGTGGGTAGGGCATGCACATGTATGTTGACAGCAATTGAGCATTACATATTAAGTATTGCCATGAACATCAGGAGTGAGAGCAATATTTCTAAATTTCTTCTGAGTAGGGTATGTTTATATGCATTCTAAAGGTGGAGTTGAATCTTCATCCTCTAAACCCCAGATTACCAACACACAGCCACCAGGCCCCTAGTGTAGGTGAAATTAAAGGTCTAAGCTCTGTGTCCTCAAGTGAGGAACATATTAAGATATGGATCTGAAGGAGCAAAAGCCATCTTATCCTGCCAATAATTCAAGACTTTTTTTTTTGGGAAGCAATACTGTGCTCCTCTGTGAGAGATACCTGGGTGCTTTGTATCACAAGTACCACATTTATTCTTAGGCTTAACAACTTTGTCCACCTACTTAGACCAAAAATAAGAAGATATATGTACACTTAAACTAGACACAAGTCTAAAAAAGCCAAAAAGCTGCCACAGGCAAATCCAATAAACACCCAAAAAGCCTAGGCATACCTAGGAAGAGTAAGACCTTGCTTGTAAAACAGTCCCCTTTAGCTTCTGCACCAAAGAGCTCCAAGGGAAGGCAAGGTAAACTACCTTGTTCCCTTGACCACAGGTCGGAGGGAACATGCGGAGCACAAACCCTCGGTAGAAAGGCAGGACACAGCTCAGAGACTGGGACCTGACTAAACTGGGAAAGGAGACAATAATCACTAGGCCCAGGGGAAAAAAAGCAAACATTACAAAGTGTACTCCTGGACAGTCTGGAAAACAATCAAACTGAGGACTAGGTGGGTGGGAGCAGTTTTTAACCTCTTTTTGGTTTGTTTTTCCTGTTGAAGGCAGAGCAAATTATCTCTCAGGTAGATGTCCTGGAAGATGATTAGGGAAAAAGGGCAATTAGATTTACCGTATTTTTCGCTCCATAAGACGCACCTGAACCTAAAGCAACGCCTAGGTTTTAGAGGTGAAAAACAAGAAAAAAAAATATTCTGAACCAATGGACTGCAGACACAGTACAGGAGATGACCAGAGACTGCGGACACAGTACAGGAGATGACCAGAGACTGCGGACACAGTACAGGAGATGACCAGAGACTGCGGACACAGTACAGGAGATGACCAGAGACTGCGGACACAGTACAGGAGATGACCAGAGACCGCGGACACAGTACAGGAGATGACCAGAGACCGCGGACACAGTACAGGAGATGACCAGAGACCGCGGACACAGTACAGGAGATGACCAGAGACCGTGGACACAGTAAAGGAGATGACCAGAGACTGCGGACACAGTACAGGAGATGACCAGAGACTGCGGACACAGTACAGGAGATGACCAGAGACTGCGGACACAGTACAGGAGATGACCAGAGACCGCGGACACAGTACAGGAGATGACCAGAGACCGCGGACACAGTACAGGAGATGACCAGAGACCGCGGACACAGTACAGGAGATGACCAGAGACCGCGGACACAGTACAGGAGATGACCAGAGACCGTGGACACAGTAAAGGAGATGACCAGAGACTGCGGACACAGTACAGGAGATGACCAGAGACCGCGGACACAGTACAGGAGATGACCAGAGACCGTGGACACAGTAAAGGAGATGACCAGAGACTGCGGACACAGTACAGGAGATGACCAGAGACCGCGGACATAGTACAGGAGATGACCAGAGACCGCGGACACAGTACAGGAGATGACCAGAGACCGCGGACACAGTACAGGAGATGACCAGAGACCGCGGACACAGTACAGGAGATGACCAGAGACCGCGGACACAGAACAGGGGATGACCAGAGACCGCGGACACAGTACAGGAGATGACCAGAGACTGCGGACACAGTACAGGGGATGACCAGAGACTGCGGACACAGTACAGGAGATTATTATTATTATACAGTATTTATAAAGCGCCAATAGTTCGCTCAGCGCTGTACATTACAAAGGGGGACAGAACATGTGACAGAACAATACGAATACAATGCAAAACATGAAGGGATTGAGGGCCCTGCTCTTTCGAGCTTACAATCTAGGAGGGAGGGGATGGTGGCACAGGAGGAGATAGCTGGGGGGATGGGGTGGTAGGAAGAGTGGAGGAGGTTGGCAAGTTAGCAGGGGGTGGGGTATGCTTCCCTGAAGAGGTGGGTTTTCAGGGTGCGCCTAACGGAGAGGAGAGTAGGTGATAATCTGATGGGTTGGGGCAGGGAGATCCAGAGGATGGGTGACACCCTGGAGAAGTCCTGGAGGCGGGCATGGGAGGAGGAGACCAGGGAACTAGAGAGAAGGAGGTCTTGTGAGGAGCGGAATGTGCGTGCTGGGTGGTACTTGGATATTAGGTCGGTGATGTAATTTGGGGCAGTATGGTGGACGGCTTTGTACGTCAGTGTTAGGATTTTGAATTTGATCCATTGCGCAATCGGAAGCCAGTGGAGGGATTGGCAGAGGGGGGGGTGGCAGAAATGGAGCGGTTGGAAAGGTGAATGAGTCTAGCAGCCGTATTCAGGATCGACTGAAGCGGGGATAGCCAGCGGCGAGGCAGGCCAGTAAGGAGGGAGTTGCAGTAATCAAGTCGTGATATGATGAGGGAGTGGATGAGCTGTTTAGTGGTTTCTGGGGTTAGGAACGTGCGTATTTTGGCGATGTTGCGGAGGTGGAGTCTGCACGAGCTTGTTAAAGATTGGACTTGGGGCTGGAAGGATAGGTTGGAGTCCAGAATGACACAAAGTACTCTGGCCTGCGGGGTGGGTTTGATGGTGGCGTTGTTGGATGTGATGGAGAAGTCAATGGGGGGTGGTACGCGGGCTGGGGGGGAAGACAAGAAGATGGCCAGAGACTGCGGACACAGTACAGGAGATGACCAGAGACTGCGGGCACAGTACAGGAGATGACCAGAGACTGCGGGCACAGTACAGGAGATGACCAGAGACTGCGGGCACAGTACAGGAGATGACCAGAGACTGCGGACACAGTACAGGAGATGACCAGAGACTGCGGACACAGTACAGGAGATGACCAGAGACTGCGGACTGCTGACAGCAGTGTGCCCACTGCGCATGCGCGAGAAGCGCTGCACTTTGTGAATGGCCCGGCGTCTTATGGGATCTGTCATGTGTCCCAGAAGACGCTGAGCCATTCACAAAGCACAGCCGGGTGCCCACACTAAAGATGCTGGCGCGGGAAGACTGTACAGCGCTGGACCGAGGAACAGGTAAGGTCCTGCTGCAGAGAAGAGCTGAGCGGCCCAGTCCACAGGGACCTTCGGTGATTGGACACTGGCAACAAAGGACCCCCAGAAAATCCTATCCTAGGATAAACCCCTGTATCATGTAATTTATTTAAATTTTGCGATTTGCGCAAAGGAACTTCTTTACAAACTTGTAGAACTGAGGGCCTGACACCACAAAGGAAGAGGTAGCAGGAACTCTAGTGTCCTTTTTTTTTCCAGTGCATTCACCAAGGATGGGCCATAACCTCTTTGTAATGGATATGAAAACCCTTATCATGAATGTAATCCGATAAAGGGATTATCCTTAACTGCTTTTCTAAAAGTGTAGATCCCTCGCAACAAAATCAAAAACAGTTTGGACTAATAGATATACCCTTTAACATACAGTCAATAAACTTTGGGTTTTACTCATTGATGAAAAGGATGTCGCAACACTTACCCATAATGGAGGGGGGGTTCTGGACATAAATACATGATGAAAACAGAAAGACAATAAGGAATGATACAACTGGATAGAGAGCCAGCCAGATTTTTCAATACTCCCCTGTCAAGAAATGTCCTGGGTCCCTCATCTAGATAACTCTGTGCAAACATTGGTCCTTAGAACTTCGCTTATCTCCTGAGTGTCACAGCATAGGTACCACTGAAGAAAAGCAAAAGAAAGAATAAAGCATTTTAAAAACACTATGCAATAAAAAAAAAGAACTGTGGCAAACTATAAACAAACAAGAATAAAGAAAAGTAAAGAGTTTTAAACCAGGCTATGAGCCAGGCACAAAATACTCTGGTTCTTAGGTATTATATGTATATATAATATATATATTTATATATATAATATCAAATATATATATATATATAGTAATATATACACATATATATATCTACATAATATGAATATCTACATACAGTCATGGCCGAAACCGGCGGAATTGTTGGCAACCCTTGAATTTTCCTCCAGGAAATCATGTATTTCTCACGAATGGCATTAACACATGTTTTGTCACATTTATTCCTTTTTGTGTATTGGGACAAAACAAAAAAAAGGGACGGAGGTCAAAGAAAGCAAATTCGACATAATGTCACACAAACCTCCAAAAATGGGCTGGACAAAAGTATTGGGCACCCTTTCACAAACTGCGGATAAAAAATAAAATAAAAAGAATGTTACAAGCATGTGATGCTCCTGTAAACTCACCTGGGGCAAGTAACAGGTGTGGGCAATATAAAATCACACCTGAAAGCAGATAAAAAGGGAGAGACGTTCACTTAACCTTTGCACTTGTGTGGTCTGTCCTGAGTGCCACACTAAGCGCATATGGACAACACAAAAGAGGAGACGAAACTGTCTGAGGACCTGAGAACCAAAATTGTGGCACTATCAACAATCTCAAGGTTTACAAAGTCCATCTCCAGAGAACTAAAGATTTGCCCATTTGTCCACAGTGCGCAACATTACAGAAGTTTGCAACCCATGGCACTGTAGCTAATCTCCCCTGGGTCGTGGACGGATGAGGAAAAATTTGATGAAAGGAATGCCGGCGCGCGATGGGGGTGGGGGGGGGACGCAGAATAAGTCCGGATGGTGCCGAAAGAGAGCGGGGAGAGGGGTCAGCCCCAAACCAGTTGGTGCCCCGAAGACATAGCAGGGGGGGGAGCATCAAGTCTTCCTGCATGTCAGGAGCTATCCGTTGTTCCAAAGACATTTTACCATTCAGTGAAACTATCCGTCGAACATTTTAAGATGAATGAAACGCTATGGCAGAGACCCCAGGAGGACCCCACTGCTACACAGAGACATAAAAAAGAAGACTACAGTTTGCCAAAAATGTACTTGAGTAAGTCCAAAAAGCCTTCTGGGGAAAACGTCTTGTGGACAGATGAGACCTAGGAAGATAGAAGCTTTTTTCGGTAAAGCACATCATTCTACTGTTTACCGAAAACGGAATGAGCCACAAAGAACAAAACACAGTACCTACGGTAAAAATATGGTGTTCAAAGATGTGGGGTTGTCAATGTCCTTTTGGGTTGTTTTGCTTGCCTCTGGCACTGGGTGCCTTGACGTGTGCAACTCATGAAACTGCAGGGATTACAAAGGATTTTGGGTCGCACTGTAGGGCCAGCAGTGTCAGTAAAGCTGGGTTATTGCGTCCAAGATCCTGGTCTTCCCGCAGGACAAGTGACCCCAAAACATACGTCAAAAAAAAAAGCACTCAGAAATGGATGGCAAAAGACAGCGCTGGAGGAGTTCTGAGTGGCCAGCATTGATCCGCAGATCTAAATCCCCATTGAAACCATGTGGTAGATCTTAAAATTGGCTGTTGGGGAATTTTTAAAAAGAGAGACTATCTGTGAGCTGTTGCCAAAGAAGAAGTGGGCCCAAAAATTCCGGTTGACGAGGTGGTCAGATGTGTCCAAAGCTTAATTGATGGTGTTATAGGAAGCGACCTGATTTCAGTTATGTTTTCCAAAGGGTGGGCAACCAAAAATTAAGTTAAGGGGTGCAAATACTTTTGTCCAGCCCATATTTTGGGGTTTTGTGTGCACATTATGTCATATTTTGCTGGTTTCTGCCTCTGTATTTATATTTGTTCCAATACATACAAAGGGAAATATAACCATTGTGTATAGCAAACATGTGTGTTAATGCAATACCTTTTTTGTGTGAAATACTTGATTTTCAGGAAAAATAATCAAGGTTGCCAACAATTTCGGCCATGATATATATCTATATCTACATATTTTTATTTTGGTTTGGATAAAGTAGGGAATGATTTGCATTAAATACACTTTGAGGGTCTATTTCGCATTTGGTTGTTTCATACTCTTGCATTTTGCTGTATATCAAGTAGAAAGGCCATTCTTTCATATGTGGCTCATTCATATGTATATGCACAGTTTAGTGTGAAAGAGAAAAACTATATGGGGCTCCAGTCACATCGAAGTGTGTACATAACTACATATGCTGCAACACACAAAACAGTGTAAATGTAGAATAAGGAAAGTTCTTCAGTTTGTTTTCATTCTTGATGTGACCCTGTTGCAAAATCAGGTCTCCCGTCTGTTTTTCAGGCAAACCTGAATGGAAGCTTCATGTAAGTCTATAGGCAGGCAGATGAAAACGGACTAATGTTCATTTACACCACCTAAGTCCAAGTCCATCCAGGTCCAGAAAAAAATAAATAAATAAAAATGCTTTCTATTCAGACTTAAGCTGCTTTCACACTTATGTTTTTCTTCTGGTTTGGTGTTAAAAAAAAAAAGCAGAAGAAAAATGTGTGACCATGTAATCCTATGGAACTCTTCACACTGGTCTGTTGCGGGTTGCCTGCGTTTAGTAAAAAAAAAAAATCATCAAAAACACACCTACCTTGTGTTCTTTGTTACAGTTTTTGAGTCATGTGTCCTGCAAAAAAAAACGCACCGTAAATACGGTTAAACCAAGGCAAAAACGCATATACATTTTTGCTACGGATCAGTGTGAAAGTAGACTGAATCGAACATGGTTCTGCAAATGTCTGCTGACAAATGCAGACAAAAAAACTGAATGGGCACGGAGGTCACAAAAGTGACATCTGTCTCGTTCTCCCCAAAATCAGGAGAGGATGTTTTCATAGATCTCATGCTGAGCGGTGCATGTCTGTGTGAAAGGACCCTTACAATGAATTTCTTATTTACTCCTTTTTAGTCTGCTAAATATACAATTGAAAAAATTCTGTCTGTGTGACAAGTGCAAAAAACCCCCCCAAAAAACCTGTTGATCTTGCCAGAAATCGTCAGCCAATTCAACTTCCTGTGCTCTCTGCATCTGCTGTACATTTATTACTTACAGTGGGGCAAAAAAGTATTTAGTCAGCCACCAATTGTGCAAGCTCTCCCACTTAAAAAGATGAGAGAGGCCTGTAATTGGCATCATAGGTAGACCTCAACTATGAGAAACAAAATGAGAAAAAAAAATCCAGACAATCACATTGGCTGATTTGGAAAGAATTTATTTGCAAATTATGGTGGAAAATAAGTATTTGATCAATATCAAAGTTCATCTCAATACTTTGTTATATATCCTTTGTTGGCATGAAGTCTTTCTGTTTCTCCCACGAGTGCTTGGCATTTCCCCCTATGGATACGTTTGAAGGTGGTCCTTTTACCTATTGGAGAAGTGGATTTTCGATTAAACTACAAAGTTTTTCATCCTGTTATTTCGATCGATGAGGATCGGTGTGCTGCTTAGAGTTTCCGTTTCTGAAGATATATTTATGGATGATCTGCCATTATATTATCAAGGTTTTTTGGTGAAATTTTTCATATTCAGACACTTTTTTTGCACAAAAGTTTTTTGCACCTAAACGTTTTTTTATATTTTTTTGTGGTATTGGCATATATAAACACGACGATATTTTTTTCTGGACTTATGATTTGATGATTTCTTCATATATATTTATATATTTATACACATTTACTAGCGCAAATTATTTATTTATATGTACTGGCTTAAGCAGGGGGACACATCTGACACTGCAGGATCTGAGTCCCTGGCGGCGTTAGTGTGTTACTGATGGTAGCTTTTGTTACGTTGGTCCCAGCTCTCTGCAGGTCATTCACTAGGTCCCCCGGTGTGGTCCTGGGATTTTTGCTCACCGTTCTTGTGATCATTTTGACCCCACGGGGTGAGATCTTGCGTGGAGCCCCAGATTGAGGGAGATTATCAGTGGTCTTGTAGGTCTTCCATTTTCTAATTATTGCTCCCACAGTTGATTTGTTCACACCAAGCTGCTTGCCTATTGCAGATTCAGTCTTCCCAGCCTGGTGCAGGTCTACAATTTTGTTTCTGGTGTCCTTCGACAGCTCTTTGGTCTTCACCATAGTGGAGTTTGGAGTGTGACTGTTTGAGGTTGCGGACAGGTGCCTTTTATACTGATAACAAGTTCAAACAGGTGCCATTGATACAGGTAATGAGTGCAGGACAGAGAAGCCTCTTAAAGAAGAAGGTACAGGTCTGTGAGAGCCAGAAATCTTGCTTGTTTGTAGGTGACCAAATACTTATTTTCCACCATAATTTGCAAATAAATTCTTTCCAAATCAGCCAATGTGATTGTCTGGATTTGTTTTCTCATTTTGTCTCTCATAGTTGAGGTCTACCTATGATGCCAATTACAGGCCTCTCTCATCTTTTTAAGTGGGAGAGCTTGCACAATTGGTGGCTGACTAAATACTTTTTTGCCCCACTGTACATTGTTCCCAGCTACCTGAGAGGACTACAGAAGATTTCCCTGTATGAGAAGAAGGGGAAGTGTTCTGTAGTCCTAACACTCTTCCTATCCAAGGGTGACAACACTGATTTTCAGCAGATACAGTAAGTGAATACTGTCACCATAAGACAGGAAATAAGTCACTAGCAGGATCACCAGGAGTGAAAAAAGGAAAAAAAGCCTGAAAAATAATGCAGCCACCACAACTAAAGACGGAAGAGCTGCAAGATTTATTATAGGATGTATTTTACATTTTGGAGTTTGAGCGTGTTTTACCCCTTGACTGTCACAATGCATCACACTGTTGAACACTCAATCCATGACTGCAGAGCTAGAAAAAAATTGTCA